GGCACTGTAGCAGCCTGAGCAAAAGACTTTTCACCAGCAGCATTTGTGGAGATGGAAACTCTATTAGATTAAGATCTAAGGAAATACAATAACTGGACCCTAATTAGCCATCTACACAGAAATGTTAAACACGGTATGTTTGCAAATGGATGCCTAAGAGAGAGTCATTTGTTTGCCACCTTATCAGGCTCTGGATCTCTTACACTAGGCAGCAGTGGCATCTCATTAAATTAAATAACCCTAGAATTAATGCCAGGGTACCTTGTCAGGGAACAGAACATGATTATCCATGCTATTAAAATACTAGAAAGGACCTGGAGTGGCTTAGGGTTTTCCCTGGCTTCTTCCCAAAAAATTCCCAAGCAGCTTGGGATTTAACATAAGCAAGAGACAATTCTTCACAAACCATTTTAGATGTAAACATATTACTTTGCAGTATAAAACAGCGTGGCTAGAGACCATTCTATACCAGTTGTCTTCAGGGCCAAAGAATGGTACCAAGTGTATTTAAACCACTAGTTAGGACAAATTCTAAGTATGTGGAACTAGAAAAAATGACAGAATCCTTGGGTCAGTCCTAATGGTGTTTGCACTTCTGAGGCCAACTGGTTAAACTGTGAGAGAAGAAGGAAATAACAAGTATAATGAACTGAAGAAATGACCTGACATTGTTGTGTGATAACTCCTACACAGCCAGCTTTCCTCCTCTGCATGCTGGTGGGATTTGTGAGTGGATTAACACCTGCATGTTTCTTCAGATGTCCCAGTAGAAAATGGAGCAGGTATCTGAGACATATGAATGACATGCTGGATGTGTTTAATGCAATAAAGAAGGTGGAGATATACATGGACATACTGTGTGTGTTTACTATACAGTGTCTTTGGAGGAGACAAAAGGAGAACAAGAGGATACAAGAATGGGCAGCTGTGCCAGGCTATTTGGTCCTCCTGGTAACATGGCTTTCATTAAATCAGCAGACATTTGTGACATATGTAGGGCTAAGATAATGATCATTTTCTTGTTCTTAGGTGTGAGCTCCCATTCCCTACAGCAGAGTAAGCTCCTAAAGTAACAATGAACGAAAGTGCCGGAACTCCCAGTAAGGAATAACTTTCACTACCAGGAGTGGTCATTACTACAAAGCTGATGATTTGCAGTGGTGCCACACACTGCAGTGGTAAAGAAAAAGGCCTTTTTTGTCCCTTCTATGCTCAGATTCTCCCAAGAAGCTTTATGGCCCTGTGTCTCTTTCGCAGGCTACCTGCAGTATAAATTTCCATTCCCCTCCCAACTCTTACTCTGCCATTTAATTCTTCATCAATACCTCAAATCCTCTTGGTTTTGATAGATGAGCCTGCATTCCTGCTGAGCTGTTTGGCTTGGAGGAACATATGAAGAGTAAAACAAATGAACAAAAATGGTAAGTGATGGCAGTGGTAGTAGCTACTGGAAGTAGCTAACGAACCAAACAGGTTCCCAAAATAATTTTTGCATAACAAAGTTTTGTTACTTTATACAGTGGAAGTACTTAATTTCTTTAATTCAAGCCTCTTTTATAGACTCCTTCCAAAATTTCACAGAACAGGCATGCAAAATAATTTGTTGAGATATAGCCAATAATTAGACTTACTGAAAGATCCATGAAGGAAACATTTCTGAAAATTCTCTAAAAATGTTAATACACACATTACAAAATACTACCCAGGAAAGTTCAGTCTTCTCATGGAGAGTCATATTGTGAAATTACAACACAATTCCCTTAAAATAAGAATGATTTATAATTTCTTTTAAAAGTTTGATTGAAATGCAAATTGCAGACGGGTAACAAGACTTCCTAATAAAAAGATGCAAAACCTGCTCTTCCAGAAGCTTGTTGTGTGGGAATAATCAATCCTTATGTTCCAAAACTGTATCTTTCTGCATATCCATGTGGAAAGATACTTAAATTGTCCACATCTCTCTAAACATTATCAGAGTACCCATACAGTCATTCAAAGAACACAGCCATGAAGCAACACTCTACAGTTTCTGATGCCACACTATCCTTACAAAAGCAACAAGGAAAAGTAAAACATTGTCACAAAAGTGCTTGAAAAGAAAACACCCAAAACAAGTCCCCAGAAAGACTGGCATCATGCTTATAGATATTCCAGGAAGTGAAAGACTAGGCAAGTTTATGAGATAAACCTTGTCTAGTGAATAATTAACAGGTCAGCTTCAAGGTCAAGCTTAATATAAACTGTTTGTTTGGTTTTGTAGTTGTGACTGTGATGTTTTACTTTTAATGTCTAATAAGGGGTTATACCAGGTAATCCTGGTATATTTATTTATTTAATGGGTCATATTGATTTAATTTTTAAATTTAAGTTACTGTTTTGATAAGTATCTGAGTTTCATGGTATCACATACAATTCAGTGTTGTGTCCATTTTATAGTTAAGCATACACAAATGATAAATGAACACTGTTGCTAAGGTCACAGTATTAGTCAGCCAAAAGGCTGGGAACATATACGTTCTGTAAATGTGTTTTTATAAAATTGCAGATAATGTACTATTTATTTCATAAGGGCCCTTGCCTCTTTTTGCATAAAACATGGATATGAACTGAGTTTGTGATGTAAAAAGATGATGGTATGCATTTAGTAAGATTCCATCCATATTTGTGACAGAATTTGAGCAGTGATGCAGCAAAGGCTCCCAGGGAGAAAAGAACAAGTCAGTGGATAAGGCAATTGAATGCTGTCTTCAAAGCTAAATTGTAACCTTGTCCCTGAGTTTGTAATTGATGCTACATGAGTTACTTACATTTATCATAGGTAGCCACTTTTTTCAGTGTCTGATGAGAATCTGATTTATCAACACACTGAGTACTTAAATCTGGATCTGAAGTGAATGACAATGATAAGTGGGTAAATGAAGTATGGCATAGTGCTAAATAGTTATAAAAAATAAAGGCCTAGCCAGCTCTCATATGATACACCTAAGATGTCTAGATTCTTTTATCTTAGCTCCTTTGGATCTCAGAATTCCCACTTGTTGACTGAAGACAATAGCATGCCTTGGCTTTGTAGCAGTGTTTCAAAATAAGTGTGCCAGTGTTTTAGAAGCACTCTGCCAGAATGACCACGTAAGAAAAAACACTGGTGAAATCTGTAGTTCTACATTCAGAAAATTTGCATTCTTACTCCAAGAAAATCTAAGAGATAGAACATAATGGCAGATCGAGTGAGAGAAGTGGTGGAAAATTTCTCATTAAATAAGTGCTTTCTATTCCAGTGGAATGCATGAAAGAGGTCTCCAGAACAAAACTGGTAAATGGGCATGTATGTTAAACAATACAGTAAAATAATAAGCATGCAACAGGGAAGCAACTAAAAGTTTCACAGACCTGGTGTTCCCCAACTCTTGAGCGTTTTGGCATGGCTCCAAAATGCATGGATATGTGTGTTTTCAAGAGAACTATTAAAGTCTGTGTTCTTGCCAAATACAGTTCCTACACCATGGGTATGTTAAAGCCTAAACAGCTTTTCTAATAGTGTCCTTGACAAACGTATGAGTAGATTAAAACAGGATGTTAGAGCTGAAAGAGAATGACAGATGCTATTCTTGACAATGTTATTAGATCTGTGTAGAACACAGTGCTATCACTACAAATGCCCACTGCCACAGCCCAAGAGGAGCCCTTCCTACGGCTCCTGGGGGAGAAGCTTCACTTCTTTCAGGAATAGATCTGACACTTACACAGAGTACTCAGTGTGAGGGCATTTATGGTGGTGCAAATGTTTATTGCCCACAAGTAGAACAAGAAATGTTGTCCATTTCAAAATGGAAATTCATTATTAAGACAGGAAAAGAGGTGACTGCTATATGACAAGCTAATAGTTCAGTTACATTTAGGTGTCCATTACCAAGGAGTAGGGTTGTAACTTCCAACTTTTTCAGTGCTTTTTGACATAACAAGGTAAACGTATGGAATAACTGGTGCTAGTGCTTGGTACCAAACCATCTGCAAAGTATTTTATGTGTCAATCTTGCAGATTTCACAAAGACGAGCCTTCAAGCTTTGTTTGGGGAGGACCACAACATTGTAATGACAGAAGGTCAATAAAAAGGCCTAGGAAAATACACAATGCTTGTCTGTTACAACTGCTGTATGAGTGTTATTGTACAGGCAGTTTCCCTGTGGTATGGTTATACCTTTACAAGTATGCTAGGAGCTATTATGAACTATGACCTTATGGTTTGAGATAGAATGAAGTATTGAAGCAGATATGTGGCAGCGACATGGTATCTCACACCACATATGGCTGCTTTCTTACCCACAGATCCTGCTAGGAAAAAAAGAAAAAAAAGAAAAAAAAAAATAACAAACATTTTGTTGTGGAGCAGGAGCAAATAGCCAAAGCTGTTTGTTACTTTTTCTGGTGATGATTCTGAAAGGTAAGGACACACACTGTTGGACAAGTTTTGCCACCATATAGGATTGCAACAATGTAAAGGAGCTGTGCATTTATCTGTGGGAAAATAAAAGTTATTATGTTGTCTATCTTGGATTACCAAGGTTTTTACAAAGACTAGGTGATCACGGGTTTTGCTCATTACCGTGAGAGTGGAGATCATTCCTCTGGCTTCACTTTCTTTAATGTATATGCACAGTCATGTGCCATGTTTTCGCATAGCCAAAAACCTCTACCGAAACAGCTGCCTGTCTGCTCATCCCGCTCTTCCCATTCCCCGCAGAGAATAACTAAAGCTGCAGTTCTTAGTCCCTGCCTGTGGCACTCCAGAGAAGTGCTCAGAGATGACAGGCAGGAAGAGAGACCGAGGGGGCCGGGGTGGGGACGCTGGGCCCTTCGCGGACCGTCCTGGGACGACCCGGGCAAGAGCTAAGCGACAGCAGCTAAAGGCTCTCTTCCTCCCTCTCTTTCTGTCCTTCCCTCCCTGTCTTCCGTCCCGCCCCACCGCCCCCTGGGCGGGCCGCCCGTCGCGGCCCATATAGGGGCGGCTCGGGTTGCCGCTGGCACAGCTCGTCCTTCCTTCCACCCGCGGGCTCCTGTCGGGAAAGAGGCGGATTCCCCATTGCGCCGCTGCCATGGCCTCGGTACCCTCCGCCGGCTGCCTCCTGGCCAAGAACCAGTACTACAGAAGTGAGTGCTCAGGGGGGCCGGGAGCTGCCTGTCGTCCCCAAACACACCCTCCCGTTCTTCTCCCCCTCTTCCCCTCTCTAGCACTAGAGAGCTCTTCTGGAGGAGGGAGGCTCTGCTCATCGAGCCTCTCTCGAGGAGGTGCCCGGATTGTTGGCACTCGGGAAAGGTCAGAAAGTGTTTCAGATGATGTCTGGATGAGCTAGAGGCAAAGGCATGTCTTTCTGCCGTAGTTTTTAATTTCTTGGAGAGGCTTTCATACCAAGGAACTGAGTGTTAATGAGCATTTGCTTCTGGTTATTCACTTATTCAGAGCTTCTAGCTGTGCTTCATGTTTACTTTGTAAGCTTAAACGCAACACAAAATCAATTCACGTCTTGTTTCTAAATATGTGAAATAATCACATTTGAGAGTACATGTGGTGTGTTAGGATTCCATTGTACAGGATGGACCCTGTTGTGCAAGTGTAGTATGTGGTTGTATCACAGTGGAAACTATAGCAATTGGGTTTTTGGACTTGAATGTTCAAGTTCAGACTTGTTTGTTTTGATAGCAATCTGTGCAGGATCATAAGGTTTTTCAGTCATTTTGCTGAAAATTATCCAGATAGATCTCAGTGTGTTTTTAAGTGAAGCATAAGTAGACTGAGAGATCAACTGATATAAAAGCTTTTATAAAAACAACTGTAGTAGAATGGTGAATATAATATAGAAGTTATACTCTGTAGCTCAGTAAACTTGATCTCTTCAATATAGCAGCAGGTCTGAAAAACTCTTGACCTAGAAATAGTGTAAGCTCTCAAAGCACTTTTTTAATTATGTGTGTCTCTGTTTTCCATGAACAGCAAGACTGAACTCTGAATCCAGTGTTTCTTCCAGCTCCTCCTGCTGTTCAGATGCTGTGAATGTTACAGACCAGGAAAAAGCATTTCACGGTATTGTTCCCTTCTTTGAAACAGTCTTCAGTTTTGCCTGTTTTGTTATTCAGACAGTATCTAATAATGTGGTCTTTTCCTCCTTTGGCAGGGTTACCTGACTTAATTGATAAATATTGGTGGATAAAAAGCTTCTTCCATAGTGAGCCATCTCCACCACCTGTTGGCAGAAAAACACTCTCAGCAAGCAGGTTGGTTCTGTTTTTACAACAGTGGGGATAGCTTACTTGCTACATTTTCCTTTTTCCTCAAAGTGCTACTAAACAAGTCTTAATCCACTAAAACCATTTGGGGGCTGCAATGCTGTTTTCATGATTTACACTTGGAGTATCTTTTGTTTAGGGCTATAGAAGCTTTCTGTGCTATTCATTTTAATAAATGGAATTATATGCTACTTCACATTATGCAGGTGTTAGAGTCTATTACTGTTTCACATTTATGGTGCTGTTTATTTAATCTTCTGCCTATAGAACTTGCACACCCATTTATACAGTACTTTATGTTAAAGAGCTGATATGAATGCATTTGAAAATACTTAAACAGATAAATATCTTTGAGAAAAATACAATGAAAATTCTACTCATAACATTTTTATATGCATTTCTGCAGTACCAACAGTTGAAAAGGACAGCGTGATGGATTTACCGACTGAGATGCTATGTACAGATCTGTTTTTCCAAGAGGCTTGGGATCTTCCTGATGTCTGGGTTCAGCTACAAGAAGAAAACAAAAGCTTTAGGAAAGTGGAAAAGTGTGTTTTCAAAATATTTGTCAGTAGCTTAAATGATATTGCTTAATGGATATGTCCATGGCCCACTGTGTTCTTTACAGAATTGCGTAATTTGAGATGTCTTTCTAATGGAAGTAACCAGGATTAAATATTCAGTTGAACTGAATAATTAGAGAAAAAATTACAGCAAAGATAAGATATTGTTTAGGAGAAGAATCTGTATTGGATAACTTCACAATGGGTTAAGTCACCTTTAAGATATCAGCTCTATAGGCAGTCACACTGATACAAAGATTCAGATCTATAGTCTGGATCTATAGACTGCTAATATGGTACATGTCTTCCATCAAGTATTTGTGTACCAGTTACAGGGAGTAAGTTTGCAAGAATGATTGTCAGTTGCTTTGCTTTTGGAAAGCCCATTTACACGAAGAAACAGTAATAAGTTTGGTCTCTTTGATCAAGCAGGGTGCATAGATCCTAACCTCAAATACCTAGGTACAACTTTCATTCCTATCTATGCATGTTGGTTTTGGAGGACAGAATTTAGGAGATGGACAAGAAAACAGTAATCCTAGTGGACACTGACATTTTCCAAGGAGAAAAGCAACCTTAATCAGAGTTCATACTCCCAGATCTGTTTTAGATTTCTCTCACCTGCTTTGTTGTGGCTTGAAGAGCTACTTGTTCTTAGATGACTAATTCTATCAATACTCTGCTGTCTGTCAGCTTAGTTATGTGCTAGATCTGGCAAAATGTTCCACTCAAGGTAATGACACTGTTATTATCCAAGTCTGCCTTTGTTGTGATTCATGCTCTTGAAAGACACTGTAATATTGCAATGCTGAAGACCAAATGAAGCTAATTAGTACATCAGATTATTTATTCTGCTGGCTATGACTGAAATGCATTAGAGAATATGGCAAATAACAAATATTTGGCTGGATGATAAAATTTGTGTCAATTATCTATGCAACTTTTTGATGTATTATCAGTAAACCTGCCAGATGTTTTTCCCTCACTTGATGAACTAACAGTAGAAAATATTAATGTAACCAACATCATTTTACTATGGGTTAATGGTTGTCATGGCTATGCATAACTCCAAAGTGTATCAAGTGGCTGCTTCAGGAAGCTTACAGTCTCAGTGAAGACAAAAAATGCATGGCAGGTGACAACAGATAAGAACACAATTCTGAAAACATAATTTCAAGAGTCTTTAAATTGACTTGTTATGTATCTTACTTTACTGCTATTGTATAGTTTCATCTTTGTCCTTTAAGTGTACAGAATGAGCTTTTTTTATGCTAAGATTTTTTATTAATAAATATTTAATCAGTATTTGGTCTGACTTATTTTTGGCCTTCAGTAACAAGCTGGTGTTCCATGTTGCTTGTGGTGCAGTTAATGGGTGGTTTGGGGGTTTTGGAATGTGTATGTATTTTTCTTCTAAATATGAAGAATTTGTAAAATTTAAAATTCCCTCAGAAGTCTGTGCTGTGTGTGTCACATTCTTCCTTTAGTCACATCAAAGTTTGATGTGAGGTGAAAAAAGAATGTAGGCTAGGAAAAAGACCCTAACAACTTTTTGTATAAGATCATGTTGCAAAGGAAGAGAAAAAGACAACTTATGGGTTGCAAGAAGGTGATTGTGTCTCTCTTTGAAGATGCCTGAAATCACAGAAGAAAGAGTTGCTGTAGCTCCATTATTACACATGAGAAATACCAGTTTCAGAATTGACAGGCTTCCCTACTACTTGTTGAGCTTAAGGTGTTTCTGTTCTTATATTGTCAAGAAATGGGGTGCAGAACAGGCTTAAATAACTGATAAATCAAAACACTGCTGTTGTTGGGGGCTCAAGGCTGGCAGAAGAAGAGAAGGGAGACTGCATGTTCTTTACTTTCATCCGCTTAGGTTCTGTGAGGTACTTGTTTTCGTAATGGCATCATAGTGATAGAAACCTGTACTCACATCACCTTTTACTGTGATCAGCTCAGCCTTGGAGCTGCACCACTGACAACTCATAGTGATTTCTGCCAGTTCTTCAAAGTATGCAATGAATCAACTCTATGAAATAACCTCCAATGTTGCTATAACAAACTCCTGAGAGGATATGGGTTAATGGGACATGAAAGCACTTGTTATCAAAGGGCTGCATTTTGTTACTTCATGGTAATAGGGAAATGTTAATTTTCTTGATTTAAATGCCAATACAGTGTAACTTTGGGAGGAGAGGAAAACCAAAATTTAAAAGATTTAGAGATAAGCTGTGATAAATATGAAGGGGAAAGCTATACTGTATAGTTTAAATACAACTTAGAATAAGAAAAACAGGAAAATAATATGATTTCATATACCCTATCTGGGCAAGACAGGTACAAATGTTTAATTGCAGTACAAAAAAATGCTTTTTCCTGTTAGAAGGTTTATAGGTAGAGATTTATTTTGATGAAGTTAATTGATGTATATTGCTACCCATCTGGAAAAAAAAAGTATCAGAAACAGGACTCATGCCAGTATGGAAGTACTATAGATCCAATTATCAAAACCAAATTAGGAATGGAGAGCTGGACTTGAGAAAGACTTTTCTTTTTTTTTTTCCTCAAGCATGCATATAGCAGTGATATTTAATAATGGGCCTCCATTTCTTTCCTAAGAGAAAAGTGAATTCATATTTTCCTGATCTTATGAATATCCTATTTTAGGAGTCCAAAATAAAAGAAAAATGTTATATCATTTGTTTTGGTTCAAGAAGGATGAAATCATTCTGTTGAGCACATTTAGAGAGAAAAATTAATTATAATGAAGTATTTTCTTTCCCATTTGTTGTGGTTTGGAAGAAAAGCCATAAAGTTACATTTCTTTTCAAAGGCTTTCTTGCCTGTATGTGAGGTAAGCAATGCTACATATTGTGGATGGACAATAGTGAGGATTAACTCTAGAGACTATAGCTAATGCAGTGTAATGGCATCATTTCTTTTTCTGCAGAAGCAAGAATGATAAATGAACCCAGGTAAATAAAACTGGGTTTCAAATAAGAATGAAGAGCAAATCAAACAGCAAGTTAAACTCATTTTGAGTTGTTAGGAGTAAGTAATATCTCTGTAATTTATTTGTTAGGGTCACTTCTCTTTGTGATATTACAACATTCTGATATTTTAAAATAATTGCAAATACCTCTTTATTTTTTTCATGATCTTAACCAATTATGTATTATTTCTTCTTGAAAGCAGACTCTCTATTATTGTCACTTCTCAACTCTTCCATGAAGGAAAACCCAAGCGGGGTTTATTCAGCCATTTCTACAAGGATTAATGCTGTTTGCAAAACATTTCTCGGGTTATTGCACTTACAGCTGGTGACTGAAAATTTTGACCATGAGCATGTTCGGTGCCTTGTCTGACTCTTCAGTGATGGAGGGATTTCTGTCATATTTCTTTTGTCATGCACTCTGTCATATGCCATTTGAAGCTGTTCTGTCAGTACCAGATGTGAAATATACTGCATGTAATCACTGGAAGATAGGTCTTTGTAATAGAGAGAGGCTATCACTAATAGGAAAGAGAATAATATCAGTGTATTGGGAGGAAGTTGTGTAAAAGCATATTTTTTCCTTTTTCTCCTCCTTCCATCTCTCTCAGAAACTGTGAAGAAAGAAGTCAGTTTCCCAAACCTACACCAAAAGAGAAGATTCAGCTCCCGATTGCAGTACTCAGTGGTATGTTCAGAGGCACTAGATTGGCTTTTTCTCAAAAATGGAATTCTAAAAGTGCTTGTAGTCACAATGGCAGGGCATGATCTGGACAGAGATAAACTACTAGAGTAACTCATAACAGGAAAAAAAAGGACTTGTGCAGTCAAAAAGTTTCTTTTCTCAGCTGTGTTAGCCACTGCATCTCTTTCAAACTTGAGCCATCTTTGGCTTCAACAAAATTAATTTGCATTTGTACCTGTAAAGCAGAACCTATAATCTCCCTTTACATGTTTCTTTGAGGTAGCACTGCTGGGTGCAAGATAAAACTGTTTTGTCAGTTTGTAGAGGAGCACCAAGGTACAGCTTGATGTCAATCATCCTACAGGGATGATCTCATGGGCATACTGAAGCCAAGATGTCCAGGAGGAATGCATCAATACAGGAAATAGCTTTTTAGAAAGACACTATTCAGATTTTGTTTTCCTTTTGTTTTGTTTTCTGTTGCTTTTTTTGTTTTGTTGTGAAAAAATAACTCATCCTGACTTTGAAGTAGTCAGTGATGGAGAGTTCTATAAAACACCCCTGTAAAATTTTCAGGGGTTGATCACCCTCACCCTTAAAGATCTTCCCCACTGATACCAACTTGAATTTCTCTGTGAACAGCAGTTCAGGGGTTACGCAGGAATGCGTGACCCAAATAACAAGTAAAGTTTTAAAGTGCTGATTCCACCTTCTCTTCGAAGATCTTTACACTGATTTCTGAAGAGGTTGGATCATTTTGTTTAATATCCAGCTACACTGTCTTCAGGAAGTATTTCAGCACAATAGGAATGGATCAATAGGTGGAAGTAGCTGGAGATGTGCTTTTTGCTTCTGTGATTCAAAGCTAAAAGCCAGGCTCCTAGAGTATGTTTCAGACTCTGTAGTTTACAAAGTAAGCGAGCCAAATGAAAAGGAAAAAGCTGATGGTACAGTTTTTACATGGTATCAAAATGTTGGCCAGTTTGAAATCTTGGACCCTGAAGCACCACTCAGTTCACTTGTAAATGGAATTTAATGAATAGATTTCTTAATATCACAAATAACAATATGATTGAAGAGTTCTACTCATTGCAACTAACTACTTGTAAGAAATATGACAAAAATTACTTTTTTAAAAATTTAATTTAAAAAAAATGACAATCCTCTCTTTAATTACATGCATCACATTTTTTTTTGTTTTTAATTCCATTATTACATTGTATACAGAGTCTCTTCTTCATCTTGAAAATAAACATTCTACATTTTGAATATATTTGGATATATGTTTCTAAGAACCTATACATTTCACATTTCACTGTCTCATAACAGTGCAGTAGTTAAAAGATAATACTAGGGGTAAAATACACAACGAAATAAGTTCCTTTGAGTAGGTATTTTCCCATTATATTGTACCCAGGTTAATTTAATGCTGTCATGACTCCAGCTCAGATTCACCATATGCTTAAGTTCAGATGAAATCTAGAATCACTATAGAATCAAATTGACAGGATGTGTTAGTGGCTGGATGATTTCTCCATGGCAGTAGCAGGTTGAATGAAGTCTTGAGTATAAAAGGCAAGGTAAATGCACGTTGTATGTAGTAATCCTTTCACATTCTGTCACAATAAAATGCCCACCTGCAAAACCCACAATAAATTTAGGAAAAAAACATGACCCTCCACCTAAAAATTCTTTCTTCTCATTTTGTGCTTTCCAGAAACATATTTTTCTATTTAAGCATTAGTTGCTTTATAATTCTTTCTAATGTTGTTTCAAAAGACTGGCAAGCTGAAATGCATTACGCAAACAGATTGTTACTTTCACTAGTGGTTTTAAGTGATGTTAAAATTATTGTCCTACATTAATCTTATGCTGTTATTGTTTGATGTATTTAGTGAGGGAGTTGTCCTCTGTTTATCTGTCAGCATACTGTGAATGTAGCTGGTTTGTTGTTTGGAGGGGGCAGCTTTGTGGTGTAAACACTTATTAAACACCTACACGCCACTAAAATAGAGCTTTAGTTACTAAGCAGGTCAGCTCAGACCTTCTGAGATAAATGTTCACAGGCTGTAACTGTCTCGTGTAAGGACTGACTTTTATTCTGTATTTTTACAACATAGCATTAAACATTAATCTCGAAAGGCATCAACAGCTAGGCATTATAAAATTATATGAGGCCCTTATGACTAATTCTGAAAATAGATGTCCCTTCGCTTCTCTGTGGACATTAAACATCCACAGCATTTATTATATATTTTAAAGAAAGACTTGCCAAGAGTAAGGACTAAAATTTATTGGCTAAAAAATTCTTCAGCAGGCCTTTTTCTGTACAATAACACTCAAAAACTGATATCCTCTGTATATTTATCTTGCTCACACTAACACTGTTTAGTGCCACCCCCAAACAGGAGAGTCTCGAGGTTTTTTTTTTTTTACTGGAGGCATTTCTTCTTCAGTGTCACTTAATATTGAAAAACACTGAAATCAAAAGTGCTTTTCATAATAAATAAATGTAAATTCATTGATGGTAGATTTGAAGTAAAAAAAACACAGGGTGAATAGTGTCAATAGTCATTTACAGTTATGTGAAATCCTAATTATATGTAGGGATCACTATGGCTCAAG